TGAGGGAGAGGGGTTGTAAAAGATGCAGAGATCACAGAAATGTGGGGGACAGGGACAGGGGGGCAGTGGGATAAAGGGTGAAAGACTGGGAACAGAAAGGATGGAGAACAGGAAAGATACGGGACAGAGGAACTCAAGGGATGGGGACAGGAGGGGCACAAAGGACAGGTTCCTGGGGCTTCACAGGAATGCAAAGGTTTGATCCCCCTGCAGCAGCTCCTGGAGCCCAGGGCCATTGGGCATCCCTTCATCCTGTGGTGCTTGAGCTTGCTTTGTCCTCAGAGGGCAAAATAATGTGGGCTGAGGGGGAATTAGGGTTGTGGAGCAGCTGTCTCACAGCCCCACGGTCTCCCCGCAGCTCCTGATCGCTCGCCGGAGGAGAACCAGCTGCTACTTCTATCCCCGCGCCTGGCCCAGCCTGCGGGGCGCAGACTGGTGGGAACGGGTGGTCCTGAAGGAATTCGGCCCCCAGGACTGGCTGGAGAAGTTCCGCATGTCCCGGGAGACCTTCTTCTACATCTGCAACCGCCTGCGGCCGGGGCTGGCCCCGCACAGCTCCCACTTCCACCCCACGCTGCCCCTGGAGAAGCGGGTGGCTGTGGCCCTGTGGCACTTGGCCACCAATGTGGAGTACCAGACTCTCAGCCCGCTCTTCGGCGTCGGGCCTTCCACCGTGCAGACGTGCGTGCGGGAGGTGAGCTACGCCGTGGTCCTGCTGCTGAAACCCCTCTACCTCCGTCTGCCCGATGAGAAGGAGCTGGAGAACATGGTGCGCATCTTCCGCACCCGCTGGGGCTTCCCGCACTGCATCGGAGCCCTGGACAGCCTGCACATCCCCATCAACCCCCCGCTGCGCCTGAGCGCCGATTACTGCAACGGGCAGGGCTGGCACTCCATCCTCACCCAGGCCACCGTGGATGGGCTGGGCCAGTTCTGGGACGTCTCCACCGCTTTTCCCGGCAGCATGGAGAACAGCGCGGTGCTGGAGAGCTCCAGCCTCTGGGTGCTGGCCAAGGAGGGCCGGCTGTGCCCCAACCCGCCCAAGGACTTCATGGGCAAGGCACAGAAGTACGTGCTGCTGGGTGACGCCACTTACCCCTTGCAGGACTGGATCCTCAAGCCCTACCAGGAGGATGAGAGCCTCACCCAGCGCCAGCTGCAGTTCAATTATCGCCTCAAGCGGGCGCACAGCGTGATCGAGAACGCCTTCCTGCGCCTGAAGGCCCGCTGGCAGATCCTCCTCAAGTGTGATGACTGCAGCCTGGAGCTGCTGCCCACCCTCGTCCTGGCCTGCTGCATTCTGCACAACGTCTGCGAGGCGCACGACAACCCATTCAACGAGGAGTGGCTGGAGGGCACCGAGCCCACCGAGCTGCCCAAGCCTTGCCAGCCTGCACCCGCTGCCATGGAGGACGGCCGGGCTGAGCAAGTGCGTGAACTGATGTGCCAGTACTTTGAGAACTGTGGGGAGGGCTGACGGCTGCAGGGGGAACACGCCGTGCTCCTCCTTGGGCCCTGTGGGTCGGTGTCAGCCCTTCGGTTCATGTGGGTTTTTGCCTCTCGGCTTCAGGCAGAGGAATGTATCTCACACCTGGGCTCTCTCTGCTGGGATTTGACCAATGTAGTGATGTGCTCTGTACTGTGTGAATAAAGCAGGGTCGTGGTTTGGCCGGGGAGAGGGTTGTCAGGTCATCCCGTCGCAAGGGTATGGCTGCAGCCCTGGTGTTGGCAGGACTCAGAAGGGCTGGAAGTGAGGAGGCAGAGCGCCAAAGCACAACACCCGTTGCGCAAACGCGTGCAGACATGGGAGGGGAGGAGGAAGCAGAGCAGTGACTTGCTGTGGGCTGGCACCAGCTGGAAATGGAACTGCACCTGCAAACCCAGCTCTGCAGGACTAAAATGTTGTGCTGGGGGTCTGAGCCCTATCCCACTGTGCCGCCGTGCAGGGGAGCACGCAGCTCTGCTGCTATCGGCTGAGAAATCAGGCAGTGGTGGCTGAGCCCCGTGGCACACTGCTTCACTGTGCCAAGGCAGGGCTGGGCACAGACACCTTCCTCAGCACTTTGTTCCAGGCGGTAGGCGGGGGAGCAGCTCAGGCATGCCTGGCTGCGCCAGCCTTCCCACGGGGATGGATCCGGACTCGGGGGGCAGTGGGGTGGCTGCCACATCCCCGAGTTGGCTGCAGCCCCAAATCTTCTCCCTCCTGGCACCCGCCATGCTGAGATCTGCTCGCCGGCTGTCAGCACTGGATGGGGTCTGTTTGCAGCCTGTCCCGTTTTCACACATCGGTGCATTTCGCAGCCAAAATGTGATGGTGCGTAGCCAGGAGGTGGGACCTTCAAGCTGGGAGCGTGGGAGAAGAGCTGCAAAGCTCCCTGCGAGGGGCTCAGCACCGCCAGCCTCAGGCCATCTCACACCAGTGATGGAAGATCAGCATGCCTACGAGAGGGGTGGGTGGGAAAGCACAACCAAGAGCACTTTCACATCTGTTAGCAGCAGCAGGTTGGGAAACACCCACATGTGCAGAGCGCAGAGCAGGAATGCACGTACTGCTGGGTGCCTGTGGGGCTGAGGGTGGGCTCAGAAATGCCCTTGGCTGAGCGCACAGTCCAGGCAGGGGAGGGAAAACGGTGACTTCTGATTCTGTGTTTGGGCTGCGGGGCACAACTGGGGTGAGGGAACCGCCGAGGAGGGCAGTGGGAGGCTATGGGGATGTCATAGGGAATCATGGCAAGAGGGGGCGTGGGGCAGCCTAGAAGCCATGGGGAGCCTCACGGGGCAGCCCTGGGGATCCACAGCATCTATGGGAGGGCGCGGGGCACCCAGAGCCAGCGGAGCAGCGCTGCAGAGCACCGGGCCTCCCACCGCCCCGCGCCTGCCCCAATGCCACTGCGCATGCGCAGCTCTGGCCTCGTTCCCCCTCCGCTCCCACTTCCGCTGGCGGCCGTCCCATCTCTCTCAACCGGAAGAGCGGTTGAAGGAGCTTCCGGGGTGGTCACGTGGGGACCATCATGGCTGCGCGTGGTGAGTACGAGTCCGGGCGGTTCCGGGTCCGGCGCGGTTTAACGCCCGGCTCGTTACGGGCCGCTTCGCCCCGGTTCCGGCCCGGTTAAGGTCCCGGTCCCTCTCGGGGATCTCACCCGGCCGGCTCCGCTTCCACTCCCACCCCCGCCCCGTGGGTCCGAGCCCCACGGTCACGCGGCCGGGCCTACTGTCCCGGCCCATCGCCGCGCGGGCCTCACTCGGATGCCTCGGATCCTTTCTTTACACAGGAACGTGAGCAGAGAGCCGTGACCCCGAGCTCCCGACATGGTGACCGAGGAGGAGGTGGCCGCCATCGGCCGCACGCTGCTGGATGCTGCCCAGCCGCTTCCCGCCCGCTTCCGCGCCCTCTTCACCCTCCGCAACCTGGGCGGCCCCGCGGCCATCGACTGCATCGTGCGGGGCTTTGCGGACAGCTCGGCGCTGCTGAAACACGAGCTGGCTTTCTGCCTGGGCCAGATGCGTGACCGTGCCGCCATCCCCGCGCTGCTCGGCGTGCTGCAGGACAGCCGGCAGGAGCCCATGGTCCGGCATGAGGCAGGTATGGCCCTGCAGGACACCACGTGTTGGTGCGCCGTGCACCGAGAGCAGGTTGCCACATCCCCTGGCCCAACCGGTTGGCCAGGCCTCGTCTCCCCACTGGCCGTTGCCATGGCGGTGGTTTTTGGGGAGGAGGACATGGCAGTGTGCCCGAGTGGACAAGAAGGCCGATGGCATCTTGGTTGTGTCAGCAATAATGCGGCCAGAGGGAGCAGGAGGCGATCATCCCGCTGTACTCAGCTCTGTGAGGCTCAGTGCTGTGCTCAGCGTTGTGTTCCTCACTACAAGAAAGACATTGAGGCACTGGAGTGTGTCCAGAGAAGGGCAATGGGGCCGTGAGGGGTCTGGTGCTGAGGGAATGGGGTGGGTCAGTGTGGAGAAGGGGAGGCTCAAGGGGCCTCGTGGCTCTCTCCAACTCTGTGAAAGGAAGTTGTGGTGAGGGAGGCTCGGCCTCTGCTCCTGGTAATCCTATCCCAGTGGTAGGATGAGAGGCCTTGACCAGGGGATGTGGTGAGTGGACATGGTGGGGGTGGGATGTCAGGTGGAGTTCATGACCTCAGAGGTCTTTTCCAACCTTGTGATTTTGCCTAGGGAGGCTGTGGATGCCCCATCCCTGCAGGCATTCAAGGCCAGGCTGGATGTGGCTCTGGGCAGCCTGGGCTGCTGGTTGGGACCCTGCACACAGCAGGGGGTTGGAACTGATGATCATTGTGGTTCTTTTCAAGCCAGGCCATTCTAGGATTCTATGATTTTGGGGTGTTGGGGCACAGCTGCATCCCTGAGGCTCTCCTGGGTTTCTCACACTGGTCAATGTGAGGGAGGGCGGACAGCCTGAAACACCCCCACCTGCTGACATCTCCTTTCCTCAGGTGAGGCCCTGGGTGCCATTGGGGATCCCGAGGTGCTGGACATCCTGAAGCACTACTCGGAGGATCCCGTGGTGGAGGTGAGGCTGTGAGGGTGGCAGTGCCATGGGGTCAGCACTGTTGGCATGGGAGGGTGACGCTGGGGACTGCAGGGTGACACAAGGGACTGGAGCCGCCGTTGCTGTCACAGCCACGCAGCCCTGCTGCTCAGAGGAGCTCTGTGCTTGCTCCCAGCCCTGTGCAGTGCCTCCACACCGTGTCCCTGTCCCCACAGGTGGCAGAGACGTGTCAGCTGGCCGTCAGGAGGCTGGAGTGGCTGCAGGAGCATGGGGAGGAGCCGGGCAGCAGCCCCTACCACTCAGTGGATCCTGCTCCCCCCGCCGAGGAGACAGATGTGGCTGCACTGCGCGCAGCACTCCTGGACGAGTCGCGCCCGCTGTTCGACCGCTACCGGGCCATGTTTGCCCTGCGGAACCTGGGGGGCCGTGATGCTGTGCTGGCACTGGCTGATGGTAAGGGCTGGCCTGGGGCTGTCTGCTCGCTGTGGGTCTGCACGTGTTAATAATCCACAATTGGATTTCCCAAATCCAGAGCTGCGTGGCTGCTTGCACTGCTGCTTCTAGAGCTGCCTGTTGCTCTGCTCGCGGAGCGCCCGGTGCTCTCTGCTGTCTCACAGCCCCCCTCTCCTCACTGTCTCTGGGGTTTGCCAGGTTGTGCTGGTGTTTCCTGGGACTGGGGAACTGCTTCCCCATCCTGGAGGGGTTGAGGACATCCAGCCTCACTCTGAGCTTTGGGAGTCATTCTGGAGGAGGGCGTGCATGTGCCCTGGAAGGGAAAGGGGCAGAGCAGAGTCCATGTCCACCCTGCTGGTTACCTTCTGCAGCCCCAGGGACGCCGACGGTGCACTCCAGCATCAGTGTGAGCCAAGGGTTTGGAAACCCTGTGCCGTGGCTTCCCTGTCCCACAGCAGCACAGGAGGGCTGTGAGGCAGTTAGCAGTGGGGCACATGGGGGCAGGAGGTGGCACGAGGCTGCATCCCCTTCCCCCAAAGCCCCACGCGTCTGGGGAAAGTCAGCACCCACTGTCTGCCTTCTGGCTTCCTCTGCCCCACAGCATTTGGATCTGGGGCTCAGCTCACGTCTGGGGGACTCACTCTTACCTCCTCCCTCAGGGCTCCGCGCTGGCAGCGCTCTCTTCCGCCACGAGATCGGCTACGTGCTGGGCCAGATGCAGGACGAAGCCTGCGTCCCACAGCTGACCGCCGCGCTGTGCAGCCGTGCTGAGAACCCCATGGTGAGGCACGAGTGCGCCGAGGCGCTGGGCTCCATCGCACGGCCCTCCTGCCTGGAGACCCTGCGTGCCTTCGCCCAGGACGAGGAGCGGGTGGTGCGGGAGAGCTGCGAGGTGGCTCTGGACATGTACGAGTACGAGAACGGCCCCCAGTTCCAGTATGCGGATGGGCTCTGCAGGCTGCAGGCCTGAGCCCAGCTGGGCCTCCTGCCCTCCTTCCCCCGGGCGCGCTTTCCCTGCTCGCCTCCATCGGCGCGGATCCGTGGCGGAGGCGGAACTGGGTTTGCTCCCTGGCACAATTACAGCTGCCTTCTGCATCCAAACCCAGGCTGAGCTGCTACTTGCTCCCCGTTTCCTGGATCCGCGCCGTTCCCCGCCCGCAGCCTGGCTCAGGGCTTGGAGTGGGTGGCTGGTGCTGCGTGTCGGAGCCCATCGCCGCACCTCGGAGCGAGCTTCCCCCACCTGAACTCTGCTGGAGGGGTCGGGGGGGCTGCAGGCAGCGGCTCCGGTGGGTTGGAGCTGTGCGATGCCTCGAAATCGCCCACGGTGCTGGTGCAGAGCTGGCTTCCTCTTCATCTCTGCAGCTGCTGGAGGATCTCTGTGGGTTTGGCCTCTCCTGTCGGGGCAGGCTGGCTCTGTCTCGCGGCAGCCTTTGCCCTGGGATGGGGTTGGTTTCGTGGCACGGCTCGGGAGATTTGGCTGTGGTTTTTCTTTCTGCGGGGAATGGCGCTGTGATGAAGGCTCGCAGGGTGAGGCAGAGCCTGCCTGGACTTCCCCTGTGTTTAACCAGAGCTGGATGGCTGCCTCTGCCAGCTGCTGCCAGCTCCAGCACCCAGATCCGTGGGGCACATGTGGGGCTGGGAGGAAATAAAGCGGCAGCTGCGTGGCTGGGGGGGTCCGGCCGTGGCTGGGGTTCCCTCGGTCTGCATCCACAGGGAGGGGGACACGGTGTGGGCAGGGAGCAACCCTACAGCCCGCTGCTGAGCCGTCCCTGCAGTGCCGCAGTGCATCCTGCTGACGGTGCTTTCCCCTTGACCAAAGTCTCTGTGAGTCACTCCGCTCGATCCTCTTAGTCCGTAAAGCTGCTGTTCCACTCTGTGTTGTCCCCTGGGGGGAAAGGGGGGGTGGGAGAGGGCAGTGGGGGCCCCCAGCGTTTCCTACTCTGCTCCAACCAACCCAGAACCCCGTGGGGGGTCTTTGTGGGGACGTAACTTTGGGTCACCCAACGTGTGCCATCGCGCAGCTTCCCGCCTTGCCTTCTTCACCCCATGCAGCACTGCTGGGCTCTGGGTACCACTGCACCCCACGGATGCAGGGGATGGGGCAGAGATGTGGGACGTGGGACGCAGATGTGCTGCCTCCCCGTTGCGAGGCAATGGGCTCCTTATCAGCACAAAGATAGGAGTGCTGAGCAGCGATTGCTGCCGTGTTTGCCCCCGGTTATCGCACAGCTCCAACCCTTGCTCTCTGCCTCCAACCCTCCCATTTTTGCATCGTGCTGAGCGAGCAGGAGAGGTGCCAAATTTTTTGCCTCTCCTCCTCATTCCTCCTGAAAAAAAAAAAAAAAAAAAAAAAATCAACAAAAAAACCCCAAGCCTCAGCTCCTTCAAACGCTTTTTAAGTCCGAGTTGGAACCAATCTGGCATTTTTGTGGCTGGGATCTGGCGTGGGCGCAGCAGAGCCGGGATGTTGAGGAGGCGCTGAGCCTCGCACCTCCAGCCCTGCGGGGGGGGGGGGGGGGGGGGAAGGGTTTGGGTTGTTCCAGAGGTTCTGCGGCTGCTTCTTGCCCCCCTCCCCCCGACCCGCAGCCCTGTTTTGAGCGGCTCTGAGCACTGCAGCGTGTTTCACACCATCTGCTCCAAGCATTCGGGGCCAGAATGCGGGGATTTAGGCAGCGGCGGGGGGAGCGAGCCCGCCCTACCCCACTCCTCCTTTACGGGGATTCCCTGCGGCCCGTTCCCCCTCGTGCAGGGACGCCCATCCCCTGCAGCACTGCCCCAGGTGTGGATTTTGGGCATCCCGGGGCATCTCCGTCTGCCCCTCCGTGCTCAGCCCCCCCTCCGCGGTGCCCGGATTACCACGCTAAGCTCCTTCTCACGGGCGCTCTGCCCTCGGTGCCATCCATCTCCCAGTGCAGGGACAGTGGGGACACGAGGACCCCGATGCCGCTTGTCCCCTGCGTCCCCCCACGCAGCGACAGCCAGCGATGGCCCACCCTGGGGTCCCTGTGCCACGACACCTGCTGCAGTCCCCCCCTGAGGAGGATGGGGTGCTGTATGTGGAGTACAAACCCCCGGCCCTGGACAGCATCCGCCTGCCCCGCTACGCGCTCTACCTGCTGATGGCCATCTCCCTGGTGCTGGTGGTGACGTACGCCATCGTGGGGCACCTCATCAAGGACCTGGTGCACGACTTTGCCGGTGAGCAACGGGAGGGGGATGCAGGTGGGGGGTCCCCAAACCCGTCTGGGAAGTGGGGCAGCGGGAATAGGGTGGCCAAAGGGGCTGCTCTGTGCCCCCAAATGGGTGCAGGATGAGCGTCTCTGCGCGTAGCACTTTGTACTGGGCATCCACCTGCACGGCATGGGGTGGCGATGGGGGTGCACACATTGCTGACCGAGCTCTATCCCCACAGATTGGGCATTCGGACCCAAAGCGGAGGAGAAGGCAGTGATGGGTGAGGGGAGCACGCCCGAGGCGGAGGATGGGGCTCAGGGTGAAGGTGTTGGGGCGCTGCCGGGCATGGAGGCCCCATCGCCGCTGCTCTGCGCCGCCCCACGCAGCTCCATCTCCTTCGTGGATCCCCACAAGAAGTGGTTTTTCTAGGGGCACAGGGGCTGCACCCACTGCTGGCCCTCCGTCCCCATCCCCACCGTTTCTGTGTGTGCACCTCAGGGCTGCTATCGCGCCGCACCCCAATAAATCCACGCTGTGCCCTTGGGGACCCCGACCTTCGCACGGGAACGCACCTGGGAATGGGGCAGACATGAGGACATGAGGCAGACACGTGGACTCGGATGGGGGCTCAGATACTTGGACCCAGGTGTGGGTGTCGATGGGGTGGTGCTCCGTGGGTGCCCCCAAGATGGGTTTGGTGGGGACAAAGCGCCCCCGAGCCCCACTGTGCTGCAGGAGGGGGCACAGACCCCCCTCACACTGGGACAGGGCGACCATCCCCAGGCTCCACACTCACCCCATGGGCGCTTCTCACAGGAGG